TTTCAATCCAAAGGAAGAGTAGCTGAAGTTAAAGGGCACTTGTACTTCCTCTCTTCCTCATTATATTTTCAAATCCACTGAAGACTAAGTCAGTGTTGTTCTAACTTATTGCCAGAATATAAGCACACAAAGGCAAAACAATGATGGAAGACATTAAAGAATGTGTCTGTCCATAATGAAAGCATTGCTTGATATCATATCTCATCAACAGAACCAGTTCTAGAGCACAGGCTTTCTTTACATATAAACTTATGTTGTGTGCAAAGAGCAGGAAAAAGGCCTTGTACCATAAGGAGAACAATTAGAATTGGGACTATTAATATATGCAGGTGACACCAGCAAAGACAATGGAAATTGGCTTCTTGGAAATAAATCATAATCTCATGGTGGCTATCTGCCTGTGAATGGTGGATTAGGAAGGCATAGTGAGTCAAAGATTTAAAAGTAGTATTTCTCAAATTGTGCTATACATCCAAATTACCTGATGACTTGGGAAAGTCCCTGACATGTGGCTCTAACAACATTCTAAGTTAATTGAAAGGAATTAATTATAATCTCAGGAGATTCTAATGTGCAATAAAGTTTGGTTTGGCATTCACTGGGTTAAAGTCAAAGATATCATGCCTCATTTGCATTGATGCACATCATTTCTGTGGATTCCCTCTGCTAATGTCCCTGTCTAGAAATCTGAGACAAAAATACTCACATGAAATCACTCCCCAAAGTCTTCACATTAGAATACTTGCCCTCTGGGATACAGCACACTGAGACCCCTTTCTTTTCTCCCCCTTCTGTCCTCCTCTCCCTGTCTTTGAAGTCTGCCTCCAGTTTCAAAGCAGTTATACTAGCAAAGACCCTGGCATCAAGTTGGCAGGATTAGGATACAAGCCTTTTAAACACACCATCACACCAGTGGTAGCTGCATCCAGAGCCTTAGGTTTCGGATTTCTCTTTCTTTGCACCATCAATTTTAATCAATTACTCCTAGGATGACAATGCTCCCAACTGCTGGATTAGATCCTGAACTTTATCATCCTTAACTTAGTTACAGATAAGGGGAACATTCCAAAGATTTGACATGAAATTTTCATACTATATTAAATGTGCAAGTATGTACTCTGCCACTGAGTATCTTCACTACCCATATTGAATCTTGAGAACTATCTTTATAGGTCAAAATCATGGACAGTAAAAGGCAACACAAATGCCAAGTCTCTGTGTGAAATCTTTTCTGGTCCTCTCAAACAGATGTAGTTTCTTTTCAATTTGAGACCCCATAAAATTTAACTAATCCAGCTGCAGCATAGTACAGTTCAAGGGTATTATACTGAACTCTTGGATTAAACTCCATCCACATCCCTTACTAAAACTGTGACTTTGGATGAGTCACATAACTGTTCTGAGGCAAGGTTTCTTCATAAAATATTCTTTTCAAGTTAGGATAAGATACAATATACAGAAAGTATCTACTTTGGGACCTGTAACATAGATATGTGATAAATAATGGCTATTGTTTCTTATAAGCTATATCATATTTTGCTTTATAGAATTTTGGTTATTTGACTTTTCAATGTTTATTTATGTTAATTTCAATTTTTAATTACCTGAAATATAAATGTATTCAATTAAAAGACATCCATTCATAAATACTTAATTTAAAAATTAAAACTTAACACTGTGACCTTATTATATTTAATCAACTCATATCAATTACATTTTTCTAGATTGTAAGCAAGGCAGTATATACCTATGAATTCCACATAGATAACATTCAAAATATTCTTAAATGGGAACTGGGGATATAGCTCAGTGGTAGGGTACTTACTTGGCATGTGCAAGACTCTGGGTTAAATCCCAGGCACCATAATATGCATGTATTGTTAAATAATTTAAGGCTACATGTGGTAGGGGATGATACTTATTCTATGCAGATTGCTGCTGGATAGGAAAGGAATAAAGTGTGGAGCTGTCCCCAGGCTGCTCTACCAGCTCATCCTGGCAGCTTTGTAGAGGAACATGGCCTGGGTATGCATGCAAAAAAGGAGAACCCAAATGGAGACCTGGGGTATATGCACTTCATGAAAAAGCCAGGAAGCTAATAATGCAATTACTTGTTATTTGATCTTAAGTTTTATGCACAACTGTGGGACAGACATTGTCAAAGCAGATCTCCACCTTGATCCTTAGACAAAGTGCTTTTCCTGCCTTGCCAATAATAGAAAAAGAAATCCATCAGTAAAAAGGTATGTGTTTTAAAATTTCAGAAACAAAAACATTTTAAAATAAATCTTAGTTCACAAAGACATCATGCAGAGAAAAGTACTATATCCTAAAGACCTAACAAAAATGATCACGCCCAAGCTAATTTACTTTCTACAAACAGCTTTTTATTGGTTTGTTGCACAATTCCTGTTTTCCAGGAAGGTACTTGACTAAGTATCTCCTTTTCTTTGAAGAGAGTCATAACTTTATTTGATGCAAGCCACCAATTTATTAAATCTTTGAATTTTTATATGCTTCATAACTATCTATGTAAAATAAGTTTTCAAAATTCTAGGTACAATATAAGCAATCCAGGTAGCATGCATCTGCCAGTATACCTACAATACATTTTCCTATGCATTTGTCTCTGGTAATATATAAGCAAAAAGAGAATGGAAAGGATATTCTAGGTTTAATCCAGAAACAATTATGTAGAATTTGGATTTTTTTTTTCAGAATGCAAAGGCATACACAATATAGTATACATGCCAAAATAGGTATTTTAAGGTATTAAACTTTCATTGAAAGTGAAAAAAAGAATAGCCAAGCTACTAGGGAAAACTTCCGTGAAAGAGGATGGGTATTCAAAAAACAGTATCTCCACTGTATATGTAATTTTATTAAGTGTTTAAAAGGTATGTAGTAAAACTAATTTTATGAATGAGTCAACTTGCACATATTGGAAGAAAAAGGAGAACAAAAGTTCTTTTCAATCCAATTCTGTAAAATCTAAAATATCTACAAATCTGTTGACGGGCGTAAATAGCTGTTCTTGCCCATTCTATAGAAATACATATTTTAATTAAAAACCTTGTAGCATACCTATGAATATGCATTGACCATCAAAACTTTATTATTAGAATGACCTTTAAAAAATCACAATCTGGCTTAACACCTCCGAAGGCATATTATCATATGCTTTCACTCAGGGCAGTGAGAAATCTGAGGCTGCCTTGAAATCTACATCGGGGAGTAAAATCGTTCTCCCTCTTACCAGCCTCCCCACGTCTTCAGCAAAACCCGTCCACCAGCTTGCTTCGCTTTACTCTAGGCTGACTTGAAAGTCTACAGATACTCAGGCTGTGAGTTGAGGGGGAAGCCCTTCCTGACCAATCAGGGCTTCCCTACCTATTGCGTCACACCTCCCCCTGGGTATGACGTCAAAGGCAATCCCAGCCCAGCCTCTAGGGTTGAGGAGGTGTAGCATTTCTGTGCAGCTGCAGCGACCAACTTGGCAGCAACTGTTCTAATGGGCGGGGAACTGGGCAGGGAGGTGCCAGAGGGTTTGTGCCTGAACCCTCTGGGAGCACAGTTATAGCAGCTTGCTCCCCCGGGAGCAGAAGCGCGCCAGTGCCTTTCAGTCCAAGAATTCAGCGCTGGCGTTTGGGGATGGAGGGAGAGGCTCTGGATGAAACTGGCACCTAAGGCCATGAAATAAGATCGGGTTCCTGTAAGCCCTCCTCCCCAGGCACCGCCTCTCTGCTCCCAGCCCCTCTGGCCAGCTTTAATGATCCTTTCAGCGCCGTTTCCCCTCGCCTGCGTTTCCTCGGGCAGAGGAAGCAGCCTCTCTCGCCCCCCGGTTCGCACCCTTACACAGAACCTCCTTTCAGACCCGCCCTCCTGTTCACTGGGACCCATTTCGGAGCGCTGGCTCGTTCTGGGCGGGAACTAGCGTGACGAATTCCGCCTAAGGTGTTGATTATCCATCCCAACTCAGCCTCTGGCTTCACTCCCACTTTCACCCGGGTTCCGGTGGGCCCCCAGCCCCCACCCTGTTTGGGTGCTCGGGACGGCGCCCCCAAGTCCTCCACCCAGTGGTGCCCCCAGAAAGAAGCGCCGGCGTGCTCGGTGCCACGTCGGAATTGGCTCCTAGGACGCTGCAGCTGCCTGAGCATAGCGCGCGGTCCCCTCGCACGCCCAGCCCTGGGCGGCGGGCGGGCCGGCGCTGCGCTGGGAGGAGAGATGCGCGCCCTCCTCCAGCTCCCAGCTGCGAGTGCCACCGCCTGCGTCAGGGACCCCTGGCCGGAGTGAGGCTTCCGGAGCTGAGCTGAGCTGAGCAGGGACAGACCCAGCCTGACACTTTAATGGGGTTGGGGAAGTGCAAAGGAGGGGAGGCTCGGTAAAGGGGGAGTGGCCGAGTGAGGCCGGTAGCTGCGAGGAGGTGGCGGAGGACCCTCCTTCTCCGGGGGTCTCAGCTTGTAGGAGCTGGAAACCGGGATCACTTAACCCTTTCATTCCAAGCAAAAAGCGAGCTGCTTAACCGTAAAACCGGCAGGACAGTTACAGGGTTTTCCGTCCAACGTAGTGTGTGGGAAAAAAAGAAGAAGGAGGGAAGGGGTGGGGAGACAGGGGGGAAAGGGACGGCTGTGAGGGATGCATTTTCCTTACACAGTGGAAATTCTTTTTTTCCTAACACAGAGTCCCTCTGTCGCTCCAGAAGATGCAGAATGGAAAAGTACATCTCAGGACAAACAGCGTTGCCCAAGAGAAGCTACCTGTGTACCCAAAAAAGCAGCGGATTTATGGCGAGAGCCGCACGGATGGGAAAAGACGGATATATTGCTAAACTTGATACTGATCGGAAATATTCTCCCATTTTCAGTCTGTTGGAAATTTTCAGACCTCAAACTTTTCTATAGAAACTGATATTTTTTTTCTAACATTCACGTGGACAATTTCTTCCATTTCCCTGGCCTGAGGACCTTCATAGTTCACCCAAACGCCTCTGTGTAACGTACCTTGTTCAGCTCTCGGTCATAAAGTCGTCCTCAGCCTGTCTGTGTGGTCCCGGAGGGTCGCTGGAAGGCAGTTTCCAAAATTGAGGTAATAAGAGATCAGATGAATTTGAGACGACCGGCCAAAAAAAATAAGAAATTTAAAAACAACATTTAAAAAAGATGGGGGAGTCTCAAATGTTTAGTACTCTCCCACTTTGAAAGGAAATTCACTAATATTCTTTTTATTATTTCCGTTGCACTTCAGTCTTCTAACTCTTTTTTTAAAAAATTATCAATTTTAAAAATAAATTAACTTTTTTTGTGTATTCCAGTCCCCCTCCCACCGATAACGGAAAGTCTCTTTTTCGTATTAAAAAAAAAAAAAAATGCCGGTGAAGACTCAGCAGAACCCAGGAAGCGCAGAATCAATCGGGAGAAAAAGTCTTTGGCTAGGGCTGGTTCAAGTCCCTGGTTCAATGGGCTGCTCGAAGCCAGGACTGGGTAATTCTTTCCAGACGCTTTGACTTCTCCTTCCTCGCTGTTGTTGCCTTTCTGCCTCCTCCAACTTAAGGGGGTCTTAACAAGTGAGCTGGTGGGTGTTTTAATAGGGCGGAGGAGGGAGTGGGGGTTTAGGGGAGTGGAGGAGGGAGGTGTGGACTGGGGAACCCGGAGGGGAGGGAACTGGGAGCGCGGGCGGGCGGGAGGGAGGCGGGGAGGAGGAGAGGGAGAGAGAGAAATTGGCCATTCAAAGCCCTCTCTGAGCTAGAGGCCGGTTCTAAACTCCAATGAATTCAATTAACTTGATTGTTAACGTGTGCAGAGAAATGCAGTGCCCACATGCTGGCCGCCACCTGATTCCCTCCTCTCATCCAGCGGCGGAGCTAGGAGACCCTCTTTGTAGATATTTCTGAAGTCTTGTCTGAGCTACACGCCTTCCCTCTACGCGATAAACGCCCTGTTACGTTTAGGTAATTTGCTTTAAAGACAAATGATGCCCCTCAGCTAAGTAGCTGCCCTGGGCAGGGACTGTGATGGGGTGTGTGTGTGTGTGTGTGTGTGTGTGCGCGCGCACCTGGAGCCTCGGAAAGCCTCCGGGACCCCCAAAAGAAGGCGAGTGGTCTAGAACTTGTTAACCCTTTCTTCCTGCTAGCTCAAAAGTTTTTAAACTGACATCAAATGTCAAAGCCTCCCCTTTGTCAAACCTTCGCTGTGGGTGGGCGGAAAAAAAAAAAGTAGAAAAGTATTGTATTTTTTTCCATAAATATGGTCCTTTAAGGTAAAAATAAGCAAATTGAGAACATTAAAGATAAAAATTTAATAAAACATCGAGTCTGGAGAACTCGATATAGCACTCTTAAAAATAGTTATATATGTGTATATATAGCCATCTCTAAGGAAGTGGATGACCTTCCTTGCGAGTTTTCTGTGAAGCTGGCGAGTCAAAATACTTACTCTTTTGCTGCTAAGTTGGCTTTTCGTGTTTTTTTTTTTTTTTTTTTTTCCCAATGTCCCCAAAGTTAAGTAGAGTTTATTTTCCCGGATACTTGGCCCCTTTTCTTTCTCCTTGGTCCTTGCTAAAAAGTCTTAAAATGGACAGTAGGTGGCACTGTTTAGGAAAAAATGAGTGGATTCACAAATGAACTGACTTGGTTTTGGGGGAGACTGATGAAATTGTTAACAGGGTAAAACATTTTCTTTTTTCTTTGCCTCTTTTTCTTACTAGGGACCTTGAGGTGTGCATTTCACTCGAACTCGACCAAGCCTTGATAAATTATTGGCCCATGATAAGGATCACATATAATAAACTTGGCAATAATGAACAAATCAGACAGAAACAGAAACAGAAAAGTCCGATAAACTGGGGGTGATGCTTTCAATACGCCGTGCAGGGTGTGGTGTTGGGAGATGTGAAGAAGCATTAAAAAAAAATAAATTCTCTGCAACCCCAGGTAGCCAGCCAGCCAGCCAGCCCAGCCGTGGGGCGGACCTGCACAGTGTTCCACCTTTCCGACCCTGCCCCACCCCCACATGCAGCGGTTACACCTCTGGGAAGCTTTACCTTGGCCCCCTGACTTCACGCCACTCTTGGGAGACCCACTTACTCATTTCCCCAACAAAACTTCTTGGTTTCAGCCTTTGTCTGAACTCTGCCTGGGGTGGTTCAATTTTAGACAGACTGGCTTAAATTTCAGAGCAATTTCATCTCACTTAATCAGACTTGAGCTTCCTGATTTTTTTTTTTTTTTTTTTTTTGGCCTCTTTGGTCGTTTTCAAATGCTAAATTATAATTGAAAATATATTCCCTAATTCTATACTCCTACATGTGATGAGAATTAAACTGATGTAGGAATAGAATGGACATTGTGGGGTGCCCACCGCCTGCCTGTGAGACCTTCAAGAGACATTTAATCTCCCAGCTCTAAACTTCCAGGGATATTACATGTAATGCAGGAGTGCCAACTATTGCTTAGTAGCATTTAACTTTTCCTATGCTAATAATTCAAGCAGTGAGAACATTTCATAAAACTGAAATTCTTCATCAAAGGGAAACATATTTATTCTTTTTCCCCTTGAATTTATAATTCATGAGCCATAAAGAAAAAGGAACGTGTCCTCTGGCTATGGATGGATGTAAAAGTTGATATACATCCACACATTTCTCTCATCCCCTCTCCACCAAGGGAATGGGGAAAAGGCCAACACAACTTAAAGCCAGAGGATTAAGTTCCTTGTATGCAAAAAAGGATCCGAAATAAAAGAGATCTTGCATGCAAATCCCATCTTTAATGTTTGTGAGATCCTGGAAACACATTTCATCTCCCTGGACCTTGATTTTCTAGTTGATAAGTAGAGAAAAATACCTGCTTTGCATAGTTGTTGTAAGGACGGAATGTGTTAAATGTGAAGTGTCTTCAATGCTGTGGACATACTCAAAAAGCATTAGAGCTCATCTTCTGGCATTGTATTCCTTAAATTTTTGTTGGTAAGTGTGTTAGCTTTCTGTTACTGTGACAAAATGCTTGAGATATACATCTTATGTGGATGAAAGATTTGGCTCACAGTTCCAGAGGTTTCAGTCTACAGCCTTTGGGCCTCATTAGTTTTTGGGCCCTGGAAAGGGAATATATCATGGTGAGAGTACCTGGTGGAAGAGGCAGCTGGGAAGCAAAAAGAGAGACAGAAAAAGGGTCCAGGGTCCCAATATCCCCTTCAAGGGCACAGACCCCAGTGACCCAACTTCCTTCCAGGAGACCCTACCTCCTAAAGATTCCACTACCCCCAAAAAGCATCCCAGGCTGGAGAAGTCTTCAACACAGATACTCATTCAAAGCAGAGTGGAAGCATCACCAACTGCTTTGTCCTGTGCTCTCTCATGTGACCTGCTTCAGCTTTCTACCATCTTCCCACTGACTCTCAGATTGAGTTATTCTGTGTGCCCATGGACACATCCCAAAACTTCCCATTTAATCCAACTTATGAGTTTCCCGTCAGAATTTCAGCTACCAGTCAGCCAGTCTTGGTTCATAGGCACCAAATTAAGAGATATGAGCTCCAGATTCATACATTATGATATGAACCAACTGAATAACATGGGGCAACTTGCATTTCAGCTTTCTTTCTTAAAAAGGAGTTGCTTGGATCACAAGAATGTCATCTTGTGATCCAAGCAAATAATGTCATCTTTCTTCCACCCACTTCAGGTTTTGACATCCTAAGACCTAATTTTTTCCAATCCATGTATTTGGAAAAGTTTTTGTTAATGTGTTTTATGTGTTCAGCTTTGCAAGACAACAGAACAAATTACTTCAGACAAATAACTTTTATCTAAGGTGATGGGAGTTAGCAGTACATTGTTTCTGATCTCCCTTTCAAAATATAAAACAATGGTCATATGTCTGATATAAACAAAGTACCCATAACCAGGGACTTAGTACTTCATAATTCTCTATGTAAATGGTTCTTACACTTTTGGGTAAAGAACTTCTCTATACTCTTAAAAATTATTGAGAGCCTCAAAAAATGCATTGATATGTTTATCAGTATTTATCATATTAGAAATTAAAGCTGACTGAAAAGTTTAAAGAGGCATATTAATTAATTTAATGCAATAATAAACCAAAATATATGTCAGCTTAATAACATCTTTTTTGTGAAAATAACTCTTTCAAAATAAAAAAAAATAGAAAAGTAGGATTGTTTTCTAATTTTGCAAAGCTCTTTACTGTTTTGGCTTTATAGGAGATAGCTGTTTTCTTATATTTTCTTCTCATTAAGTTGTTGTTTTGATTGAAGTATATGAAAAAAAAAAAAACAAATTCTGACCTCATAGAGATATATAATTCAAAATGGAAGAATATTTTAATCGCCTATTTACATGTTCTTCTTTGATACAACATCGAAACTTGGTAAACTGTTATGTTGGATCTAAAACAGTATAGAGAAACTTCATCTACTCTGCTACATTAAAATATGTTGGTCTATCTTACACTTCAAATGCATCTTTTGCTCATCCCGGTAGCAAGTGCCTATAATCTCAACACTTGGGAGGCTGAGGCAGGAAGATTGCATGTTCAGGACAGTCTGTGCAACTTAGCAACCCTGTTTAAAAAAAAAAAAAAAGGAACAAATGTTTTTGAATTTGTGATGTCATGTATTGATTATTTGAAAAATATGAATTTACTGAGATTTGCAGATTTTCCAGATGTTGATGTATTTTTCATTTTCAATATTAAAAACAGTCACAATTTTAAGATCACCAATTTCTATCTAATTGTCTATCCAATAAATGTTATTCTTACATTGTAACACAAATTTTCTAAATTCTAATTTTCTCTTAGGACCCAGTATTTTCATTATCAACAAATATTATCCATTACTCTCATTGTGGTGACAGATCAATTCATTTAATTAAAAAAAAAAAGTCTTCAGAATATCTCAGTCTGAATAATAGGAATTTGTTTGTTAGTTGTTCTTTCAAGTGATATTCCTTGATTAAAATGGCCAGCTTAGCTCACAATTCAATCACAGGAGAGTTCTTCCTCCAGACAGCTGTCATAGCTGAATACACAGAAATCTTTTCTGTATACTTTCCACTTTTTCACAAAGAATAGTGAAAAGCCATAAACTCCAGAGTTCAAATTTAATGAAATTAATAACTGTTACAACTTCATCTAGGACCTTACATGAAACTTGCTTTTTATTTCCCTGGGAGTACCTGTGTGGGCCACTAAGCCTGTCAGCACCCCTAAGTACAAACTCCTATACCTAAGTAGAGAAAGCTCCCACCCCTTTAAAAGACCATTAACACACCTTCAAAGTTGTTCTTTCTTTTAGTTAAAACTTTTTGAAGAAATTTATGAGGAACCAGCTCAGGTCACTACATCACTCTGATTCATTCTTTTAGGCCACCCAGAGTACACTTGTCTCTGTACTAAAGTGAGCATGCCCAAAGCATTGGTATGGACCATCTTTCCTTTTGGAACAGGTATTCTAGAACTTAGAACTGAGCATGCCCAAAACAGTGTTCACCTTTTCCAACTAGGACCTTAAACCAAAATGCTCAGAAATGTACACTTAAATGAGCATGCTCAGAAACACAACCATCTTTATCTGTGCTTTCCTAAATAGACATGTGTATCTTCCCTGAATGAAA